GCGGCTACCTGGCAAAGAATCTCGCGCAAAAATAAAAGTCGATTTGAAGCGATGCTTTTTTTTAAATAGAAGCTTTACTTTAAACATCATGTAGTACGCAAGTGTTGCAACAATACACTATACTTATAGTTACAATACATATTTGATAATATCATATCTATTTGATAATAATGTACTTCAATTCAATATACAAAGATCATGTATTGTGCCGAACTGTAGCCCAAATAAAAGTTAGTATTATAAAAAATTATTTTTATAGCGAAGAACGAGAATTTTCGTGGAAAATGGGTAGCATTGATTAGATAGGGCGTTAGGGATCGGGTTAGGGAATATATGAAAAATATTTTGAAGAATATTAAATAGTATAGTATCAAGTTATAAAATTTTTTAATGAATCAAAAAAAAAAATTAAAAACAAATTTATTTTCCGCTATGATCCTCCGATAGATGCGTCTAATATATGTACGTACATACTATAAAAGCATTAAAAATACGTTTGATTTGGAAATTATGTTTTTTCATTAGAAATAATAGTATTTATTAATGAATTACATAATGAGTGTCTGTTTAAACAACCTTTTTTCTGTACCAGATGAAATAATGTACATGTATTTATTTTAAATAAATTGTGAAAAATGATGAGATATAGTTTAGGTTACCTTATATTCTTTACCTTTATTGTACGCAGATATTGTTTTTGCCGCAGGATGGCGCTAAATGCAAAATCCTAACAAATAACTCGAGGCTCCATAGTAGCGCCACGGTTTGTAAAGCACAACTCTCGACATTAAGAGCCTTACCCCCACTACGAAAGTTCCTACACCTGTATGTACGACTGTGCGTTAGACAAATTATAGCACGGAAATTCTCACGATTTACTTTGACTTCGCTGTTGTGGGCTGTGTTTCTCCAGTTTTCAGCTCACTTAACCTGGCGTCCCTGACAAGTTTGCGACGGTACAAGCGAATCGTCTCATTGTATCGGCCTTGGATATTTAGAAAATCTGTCCAATATGGCAGAGGACTTACGCCTCCATTTCTGTAGATTATGCGTATTCATTCTATAGTAATCCTGCGTCCGCGATTTACCGTAGGAATTGAATATTCCTTGCCTAAAATTTGCCAGGGAATCGGGAACAATCTGGTAGAAACAACTATTTACACACAAGATATACACTTGCATACACGTTTTCGTAAAAGCAGAAGTAAAAAGGTTCATTTCATAGATGCGGTTCTATCGAGAAAGAGCGATGTGATTGGACGATCTCAGCGCCTCTTCTCGAAATCAAAGCAAACTTTCATATAAAAAGAGAGAGACTCCTTCTTCTCTGGTTTTCACCGTGTTGTTGTAAAAAAAAATCCACAGGGATATAAAAATAGAGTGCGTGAACGAGCTGAAAAAGCGATATAGGAATAGGAAGAGAATGCTGTATAAAGAACTATTCGTGCATATTCGCTACATATTCGTATAGTAAATATGTAAGTACAACATCGATCAACGAGCGGCGTTAGACACATGCCTCATTAGATAAGGATAGAAAGCGCCTCTATGCAGCGTTCTATTCCTATTCCTATATCGCATACACGGTAACATATGCCTCGCGTACATTATCTTTATATTTTTATGGAAGAATCTGTGAAAAAAGAAATAAAAATATTGAGCAACCATGAATATATTTCACTTCATACTAAACCGATAAAGTAGATTGTAGATGACGCGAGTTCTTACCGTCGCGTG